GCCAGCCATGCTGGCTGGGGAATTCTGGGGGGTGAAGTCCACCCATCTTCAAGCGGCCAAGGTTGAGAAACGTAAACCAGACGTTAATATGTTCCTTTAAAAAAAAGCATCCTCGGGAATGGTCTTGGAGCAGCTGTTAGATTATTTTTGCATTGTGCCCTTATTTTGGAAGCTGGCGTTGTGTTTCCTGCAGGAAAACACATTGCTAAGAGCAGGTAGGAGAGCCAGTTTGGTCTAGGGGTGAAGGCACCAGGCTAGAAACCGGGAGGCGGTGAGTTCTAATCCTGCCTCAGGCATGAAAAACTGGCTGGGTGACTTTGCGCCAGTCCCTCTCTCTCAGCCCAACCCACCTCACGGGGTTGTTGTGGTGGGGAAAATAGGAGGAGGAAGGAGCATGAGGTATGTTCGCCCCCTTGAGTTACTTGTAAAATAATAAAGGCGGGATGAAAAAAAATCTAAAAAAAAATAGCGAGATCAGATAAGCGACCCAGCTCTTGACCCAGCTCCCTGAATTAAAATATCCCTCGTTTACATTTGTGGCCACAACTTGCTTGCATCGTGGCCTAATTTGTAAACATTTCTACCTGGTTTATTAGTCTTGCCGACTGGAAAAGAGAAGAAGCCTGAATAAAGAAAAGAATAAGCAGCTTGTCGTAAGGGAGGGGAAAATGAACCCATCCCTATTTTTATGGACAGGCAGTGCAATTAAATGAAATTAGAGTATTATTATCCATGTTGTGTTCTTGGCCTGAGCCCAATTGATTTTGGTTTGGTAGTCTATATCTGTGACTGGGTGTGGCTTAAAATATTTGTGGCCAAGCTTAGGGTTTGATTTTACCATAAACAAGACATTTTCCTCCTCTCTGGCTTTTGTCTTTCTTTCTTTACAGGTTTACAGCCTGCTCAGAGGAAAAAAAAAAACTCTTGGCCAACACCCATCATGTCCTTAAAGACCCCCCCGAGCTCTGCTCCGGGTTCGCCTGATCGCGGGGATGTTTCTATCGTTTTCGTGGGGAAATCTGGGGTGGGCAAATCGGCTCTTCTCAACGCCGTACGAGGGATGACCGAAGATGATGTTGGATCAGCCCCCGTGGGGGCCCCGGTGAAATCTGAGAGGCCCGTCATGTACCCCGATCTGTCTCATCGTAATTTACTGCTGTGGGAACTGTCGATGGATGGCGAGGGACAGCCTGCAGATCGTTGGATCGGAGAGGCCGACCTGCTTGTGTTGGTGACTGATAACAAGTTTGAGGGTTCCCACACCCGCCTGGCGTTGGAGGCCCAGGAAGCAGGCAAGAAGGTCTATTTTGCCCGGACCAAGGCTGATCTGGAACTTCACACTCTCAAACGGTTGATGGGGAAACATTACAATCGATCTGAAGTCCTCCTGGCCCTCCGGGGGGTCTGTGCTGAATCCCTGGGGACCCTCTTGCTTGGGGAACCCTTTGTATTCTTGATCTCTGCATTTGAGCCCTATGCCCTGGATTGCCCCCAGTTGCGAGAAGATTTGCTGAAGGATGTCCACCAGTACGAGAGGTTGGTATGAGAGCTTGCCAATGGAAAGGTGGAATTGCCCTCCCTGGGATCTGGTCAAAAGCCCGGATGCTCCAATGTTCTCCTGCCCATAGCTGATCCCAGCAGATCACTTTCCTAGGCTGATATTTCTGAAGCTCAGAAAGTGGGGATGGAAACACCAGGGCCTGTACTCAGAGAACTCCTGCACTTAGCTGTAACGTGGGTTGGGTTTTGTGTGTGTTTTTTTTAGGATTAGCTTATTGTGTTGCCATTCTGGTTGTACCAGGGTCATACTTTAGGGGATTGGGTGAACTTGGCCAGATGCGGTTTATCCAACCAAGCATCATGAGAGAAATCATAGCTTAGTGCAGAAGATCAAGCTGGCCATCTTATACCCAAATATGAATCTGTTTGTTTAGTTCAGTGTTTCTCAACCTTGGCAACTTTAAGACAGGTGGACTTCAACTCCATGCTGGCTGGGGAATTCTGGGAGTTGAAGTCCACCTGTCTTAAAGTTGCCAAGGTTGAGAAACACTGGTTTAGCTTCTTATTTTAAGCAACCTACAATGTTCAGGCTTTGCTGAGCTTTTACTCTTTGCAATCCTTTGCTTGAATGTTGCTGGGAATGTTCCTGTTCCCACATTTATAAGAAATGGTGGGGGCGAGGAAGTGAAAGGATTGGTTGTCTCCAGCAGAAAAAAGATGGGTCATTTTTGAAACTACTACTACCATTCCTTGTAGTTCTTCATGCACAAGTAGTGTGTTTGGCACAGATCCTACTGTGAAGGTCCTATGGCTGAATCCTGCCCAAATCATTGTAGGTCCTGTTTTTTGGGCTACTTTATTTTCCAAAGGATGCTGAATGTAACGAATATTTAATATTTTCTCTGAATCTGTGTTCCCCCTGCCTTGGTGTACCTTCCTGACATTTAATACTGCTGCAGGATATCAATCCAAGTTCTCCATCTATGACTTTGACCTTTCCTTGCATCTTTCCACAGGGTGGTGAAGCCCATCCCCTCAGACTATGACATGATCAGCGAACGAGAGATTGCTGAGATCCAGGAAGCCTATGAACTGGGAGGCCTCTCTGAGGTGGTGACCCGAATCCAGTGCAGTTTGGAAGCAATCTGCAACACCCAGCTTGATATTGCGGTCACAGGAGAATCAGGGACCGGAAAATCCACATTTGTGAATGCCTTGAGGGGTATGAATGATGAAGAGGAAGGGGCTGCTGCAACAGGCGTGATAGAGACAACAATGCAGCCCACGCCGTATCCTTACCCTGGGCATACCAACGTCAGCCTGTGGGATCTCCCTGGTATTGGAACTCCCAACTTCAAGGCTGATAAGTACTTAGAAGCTGTGGAGTTTTCCCGTTATGATTTTTTTATCATCCTGGCTTCTGAACGATTTAAAGAAAACCACGTTCGTTTGGCCCAAGCCATTATCCAACAGGGAAAGCAGTTCTACTTTGTACGCACCAAGGTAGACAATGATTTGGACGCCGTGCAGAGAAAGAAGAATCCACCCACTGAAGCAGAAGTTCTGAAGGAGATCCGCGATGACTGCCGGGACAAGCTTTTCAAGGCTGGACTGAGTGATGCCAAGGTGTTCCTTCTCAGCAGTTTTGCAATCGACAAGTTTGACTTCCAGGTTTTTGTGGAAACTATGGAGCAAGAATTGCCAACCCATAAGCGCCAGGCTTTTCTCTTGTCTCTGCCCAGTGTCTCCATGGGGATCATAGAGAAGAAGAAGAAGCTCCTTCAACAGGAGGTCTGGAAGGTGGCTTTGGTTTCCAGCTTAGTAGCTGCAGTCCCTTTGCCAGGCCTGGCCTTCACCTGTGATGTTTCCATTTTGCTGAGGAAGTTGTCCACTTACCGGCAGGACTTTGGCCTTGATGCAGCATCTTTGACCCGACTGGCAGAACGTTCCAGGAAACCCATGGGGGTCCTGAGAGCAGAAGTGCACAGTTCTCTAGGGCGTAGCATCAACAAGGATGTGGTGATCAAGTTGCTGGGAAAGGCCACTGGTACAAGCCTGGTGGTGGCCAATCTTTTCATCCATCGAATCCCGATTTATGGAGCCCTGGCCTCTGGGGGTATTTCTTTTCATACCACGTATTCCATGTTGAACCAGTGCCTGGAAGAGCTGGCTGCTGACTCCCAACGTGTTCTTATGAAGGCCTTTGAAAGTGACGTCTGATGTGGCTACAACAGTTTACCCATCTGGTCTCTTCCAGGTGGGCTACACCTACAGTTCCCATCATTCTCAGTTGCCCTGGCTTTTGCCTGCAGTAGAATCAGATGACTTTCCTTCATCCCATTTTTGATCTTCCTTAGACGCCTTGTCATTGACACTTCCTCACTTAGCTTCTATCACAAACAAGCTGCTAAGTACTGTTGCCTATCAAGTCTTGAGGACTAGGAACAAGCATTTGCTTTGGCTTTGATCTTCTGGAGAGCAAGTTTAGAGGAGCTGCTTTGTCTCAGAATGTTCCATCAGCCCTGTAATTATTTACTATTTTAAATGTATTGCCCCTCTCTCTTCCGGCATGGACCTATGGAGTTTGAATGAGAGGTTAAGGGTTTTGTTGCAAATTACTGCCCCAGCCTTGGGATGGCCAACCAGAAATGCAGAAAGAGGAGGAGAAAAAGAGGGTGCAATATTTGATGGGGTGTAAATCCTTGTCTAGTCATATTTTTCAGAGTTGGATCCCAGTGTAAGCCAAGGGGAAGCCTTGGTTGGAACACAAGGATGAATCTAAGATTTCTCTGTTGCTTTCTTTCTGGTGGTGCTCCCTTGGCTCGCCACTAGAGGTTGGTGCTGTGCGTTGGAATAAAAAACGTCTCGCTCAGCCTTTCTCAACCTCAACGATTTTAAGCTGTGTGGACTCCAACCCCCACAAATTCCCCCCCCCCACACCTCGTGTGGGGGGGTTGTGGGTGTTGTGTGAAACGCGGGTCAAATTCTTGGTT